ATTGTTGTCATTGATGGGAAAATGAATTCCAGAGTTTATCAAGACATTTTGCAGAAAAACGTACGACCATCTGTCCACCAACTGAAGCTCCGCAGAGGATGGGTGATGCAACAGGACAATGACCCAAAGCATACAAGTAATCCAACAAAACAATGGCTGCAACAGCACAGAATACGCCTTCTGGAGTGGCCCAGTCAGAGTCCTAACCTCAACCCCATTGAAATGCTGTGGCATGACCTTAAGAGAGCGATTCACACCAGACATCCCAAGAATATTGCTACACTGAAACAGTTTTGTGAAGAGGAGTGGTCCAAAATGACTCCAGATCGTTGTGCAGGTCCGATCTGCAACTACAGGAAACATTTGGTTGAGGTTATTGCTGCCAAAGGAGGGTCAACCAGTTATTAAGTCCAAAGGTTCACATACTTTTTCCTCCCTGCACTGTGAATGTTTACATGTTATGTGCAATTAAACCATGGCAACATCTAATGTTTGTGTAGTATTATGTTCAGCAGACTGTGTTCTTCTATTGTTGTGACTTAGATGACATTCAGAGCACATTTTATGCCCAATTCATGCAAAACTCCACGTAATCCCAAGGGGTTCACATACTTTTTCTTGCAACTGTATATATATATATATATATATATATATAAAAAAAATATATATATCAGGGGCGGACTGACAACTCATGGGGCCCCCAGGCAATAGGGGATCATGGGGCCCCTGTGTCCTCGCCCACACCCAAAAAAAGCCTATGAAAAAGCCAATGAAAGATACCAGGGGCATCTCATGGGGCCATATATATTAAGATAGTTATTTAAGAGGTTATTGAATAAATTAGCGTGTCACCCAATGTATGGTCTCCATTCAGTAGCCAAAAGATGCATACAAAAAAGAGGGGGTTTGTGAAAAGAAATTCACAGAAAAGCGGCTACATAGTGAACAGAACGTGACACACAGGAAGAAATTTCCAAAAATTATGCTTTATTACACATATAAAAATATGACATATGGGCTTTCGCCCTGGTTTACCATCACCTCAGTAGAGACAATACACACAGACCTAAAACCTAAAGCATAATTTTTGGAAAATTTCTTCCTGTGTGTCACGTTCTGTTCACTATGTAGCCGCTTTTCTGTGAATTTCTTTTCACAAACCCCCTCTTTTTTGTATGCATCTCATGGGGCCCCCTACTGACCCCGGTCCCTCGGGCAGTGTCTGATTGCTCAAATGGTCAGCCCGCCTCTGATATATATATATATAGTATGCTGAAATGCGTTTTTTATATAGTACAAAATATATATAAAAAATATTTTTAAAAATATATATTTTTTAAAAATATATTCTTCAGATTTTTTTGTAACATATAAAAAAGTCATTTTTACATATGTTTGTAAAATGCATTTTGAAAATGTAGATTAAATGTATTTTTAAAGATATACAGGATATTTGAAAATTTATTTTTTTTAAATATTTTTCATATATTTTGTAATAAAAATGCATTTCAACATACAGTGTATATATATATATATATATATATATATATATTGAAATATATTAAATATGTCCAGAATTGTAGTATTTCAAATATAAGGCATTATATTTGGGAAGAATATTTTTCAAATATTTTTCAAATATATTTTTCTTTCATGTGGGTAGGTGAAGGATAGGAACCGGTGGGTCAGAGACCGCGTGCTTAGCATAGAGAAAGGTTCTGGTGGAGGAGGGACAGTGCAGGGACCTTGCAGCTGATCTGCTGCTCTGGACATGGTTTCTTCTGCCCTTGCCGCCACACCGCCTACCAGTCGCCCTCTTCATCATATGCTGTCAGGTATTGTAAGCCTGCTAATGTGTCTTCTGTAGATCTGAGGCCGTGTTCTACGAGTCCTGCAGCAAAGTACTACTGTACTGGGTCCGGATGTAATATTCAGGCCCTGTTGCCACCTTGTTGGAACTTTGAGTTATTGCATTGTGCTGCAGTCCTTGGCCTCCACTTTGGGTATAAAACATCTGCTCCCTCCTACAAGTGCGTGAAGAATGGTCCCATGACCTTAGGGCCCGGCAATGTGGATGACAAGCTACCAATGGAAGGAGGTTCAAATGGTTACAAAGAGTGTCCTTCCACTCCCAGGGTCAAATTAAGTAATTATGTGATAGATTTGGAGAGAAGTAACATGAAACAAGAGACGAAATTCAGTAGAGAACCAGGGGCAGAAAAGAACTTGGGTGGGAAGCAATGTGGGGGAAGGGGAAACACGGGGGTGACAGTTCGAGCCGCAAGCCAAGTACCAGGCTAGTCTAAGGGGTAGCCGCAGCCTTGTGATGGAGACTAGATCCATGGACTTGAGTCCGTAAATACCCAAAGCCCAAATCTAAGAAAATTCATCATGGACGTCTGATAGAATTTTAAATAACTTAATTATTAGATAAAATTAATCATAAACCCTCGGAGTTGGGTCTTGAGAGATTGTTATTTCCAATTATTTGAGGCTGTAGTTTTTCGGAAAGCCACCGTGGAGTCCTCTATATTCTTCATGAAATAAGGTATACTCTATTGCCCGCAGTATTGGGCTGCTGGCCTTTCCTCGCACATGAACTTTCATGGCCTCCCAGTCTTAGTCCGTAGGGTTCAATATTGAGTTGGCCCCGCCCTTTCCACACACATGACCTTTAATGGCCTCCCAGTCTTAGTCCTTAGGGTTCAATATTGAGTTGGCCCCGCCCTTTCCACACACATGACCTTTAATGGCCTCCCAGTCTTAGTCCGTAGGGTTCAATATTGAGTTGGCCCCGCCCTTTGCACGAACATGACCTTTAATGGCCCCCAGTCTTAGTCCGTAGGGTTCAATATTGAGTTGGCCCCACCCTTTGCAGCTATAACAGCTTCAACTCTTCTGGGAAGGCCGTCCACAAGGTTTAGGAGGGTGTCTATGGGAAAGTTGGACCATTCTTCCAGAAGCACATTTGTCAGGTCAGGCACTGATGTCGGGGGAGGAGGCCTGGCTCGCAGTCTCCACTCTAATTCATCCCAAAGGTGTTCTATGGGGTTGAGGTCAGAACTCTGTGCAGGACAGTCAAGTTCCTCCACCCCAAACTGGCTCCTCCATGTCTTTATGGACCTTGCTTTGTGCACTGGTGGGCAGTCATGTTGGAACAGGAAGGGGCCATCCCCAAACTCCTCCCACAAAGTTGGGAGCATGAAATTGTCCAAAATGTCGCCTTAAGAGTTCCCTTCACTGAAACTAGGGGCCAAGCCCACCCCCCGAAAAACACCCCCACACCATAATCCCTCCTCCACCAAACTTTACACTTGGCACAATGCAGTCAGGCAAGTACCGTTCTCCTGGCCACCGCCAAACCCAGACATGTCCATCGGATTGCCAGACAGAGAAGTGTGATTGGTCACTCCAGAGAACACGCCTCCACTGTTCTAGAGTCCAGTGGCGGCGTGCTTTACACCACGACATCCAACGCTTTGCACTTGGTGATGGAAGGCTTGGATGCAGCTGCTCGGCCATGGAAACCCATTCCATGAAGCTCTCTACGCACTGTTGTTGGGCTCATCTGAAGGCCACACCAAGTTTGGAGGTCTTTAGCTATTGACTCTGCAGACAGTTGGTGACTTCTGCGCACTGTGCGCTTCAGCATGCGCTGACCCCGCCCTGTCATGTGACGTGGCCTACCACTTGGTGGCTGAGTGGCTGTTGTTCCCAGAGGCTTCCACTTTGTTATAATCCCACTAACAGTTGAGCGTGGAATATTTAGTAGCCAGGAAATGTCACGGATGGACTTATTGCCCAGGTGGCCACCTATCACGGGACCACGCTTTGGAGTCACTGAGCTCCTGAGAGCGACCCATCCTTTCACCAATGTTTGTAGAAGCAGTCTGCATGCCTAGGGGATGGATTGTATACACCTGTGTCCATGGAGGGGATTGGAGCACCTGAATCACATGATTTGGAGGGGATTGGGAAACCTGAATCCAATGATTTGGAGGGGATTGGAACACCTGAATCACATGATTTGGAGGGCTGGCCCAACACTTTTGGCAACATAGTGAATGTATGAGCCAGACTAGACTGTTGTAACATAGCGACATGTCCACCAATAGGCTTAACATCACCAACCTTATTGCAAAACTTGAAGATTTTATTCGATGTATGTGAGCTACTTTTGAGGTGACCAAAAACTCTTGGAAGGAATAGTGAAGGAGCTTTTAGAAATGTTCAACCATATCTAAGACCAGTCCTCATTGGTTTTAAAGGCAGGGAAATCCAAGAGCCATTTATTGACGTAAGAATGGACCTTGAGGAAGAAAATAGGAATATTACAATGGGCATATAGAGTGGTAATTCGCTTGTTGGAGCAAAGGGTCATCTGAAAACATGAGTTATTAGATTTTTAGGCTAATGACAGGGTCTCTTTACTCAGAAAGGGGCACAGGAAAAGCTTTTCTGTATAGCAATCCTAATAGTTTAAAAATGAGCATAAGTCCACCTCTTCATCCTTCGCATGCATGCCATGTCCCTACTAAGTCCTATGGGGAGCCATACTGGTGGTGGCCTTTGGTGATCGTGTAGGGTATGACTTCCTATAACTGCCTTTCTTAATCTTTTCAACACAGAGGAACCCTTGAAATAACTTTCCGGTCTCAGGGAACCTCTGTTAACAATGACTATATCTACATCTCATGATACATTAGTGTGCTGGTCGCTGTGAAGAATGATCAGTGATTGTCACTGTGAAGAACGTTCCTTACATTGGAGGTCAGTGGGAAGAATGTCCCTTACATTGGTGGTCACTGTGAAGAACGGTCCTTACATTGGTGATCAGTGGGAAGAATGTCCCTTACATTGGGGGTCAGTGGGAAGAATGTCCCTTACATTGGTGATCAGTGGGAAGAATGTCCCTTACATTGGGGGTCAGTGGAAAGAATGTCCCTTACATTGGGGGTCAGTGGGAAGAATGTCCCTTACATTGGGGGTCAGTGGGAAGAATGTCCCTTACATTGGGGGTCAGTGGGAAGAATGTCCCTTACATTGGTGGTCAGTGGGAAGAATATCCCTTACATTGGGGGTCAGTGGAAAGAATGTCCCTTACATTGGGGGTCAGTGGGAAGAATGTCCCTTACATTGGTGGTCAGTGGGAAGAATGTCCCTTACATTGGGGGTCAGTGGGAAGAAGGTCCCTTACATTGGGGGCCAGTGGGAAGAATGTCCCTTACATTGGGGGTCAGTGGGAAGAATGTCCCTTACATTGGGGGCCAGTGGGAAGAATGTCCCTTACATTGGAGGTCAGTGGGAAGAATGTCCCTTACATTGGGGGTCAGTGGGAAGAATGTTCCTTACATTGGGGGTCAGTGGGAAGAATGTCCCTTACATTGGTGGCCAGTGGGAAGAATGTCCCTTACATTGGGGGTCAGGGGGAAGAATGTCCCTTACATTGGGGGTCAGTGAGAAGAACGTCCCTTACATTGGTGGTCAGTGGGAAGAATGTCCCTTACATTGGGGGTCAGTGGGAAGAACTCCCTTTACATTGGTGACCAGTGGGAAGAATTCCCCTTACATTGGGGGCCAGTGGGAAGAATTCCCCTTACATTGGGGGCCAGTGGGAAGAATTCCCCTTACATTGGTGATCAGTGGGAAGAATGTCCCTTACATTGGGGGTCAGTGGGAAGAATGTCCCTTACATTGGTGGTCAGTGGGAAGAATGTCCCTTACATTGGTGGTCAGTGGGAAGAATGTCCCTTACATTGGTGGTCAGTGGGAAGAATGTCCCTTACATTGGGGGTCAGTGGGAAGAATGTCCCTTACATTGAGGGTCAGTGGGAAGAATGTTCCTTACATTGGTGGTCAGTGGGAAGAATGTCCCTTACATTGGGGGTCAGTGGGAAGAATGTCCCTTACATTGGTGGTCAGTGGGAAGAATGTCCCTTATACTTGTGGTCATTGAGAAGAATTTCCCCCTTACAAATAGCTAAACAATTGGTCAAACAATGGTGTCAGTGGGAACTTATCTGAGAGGTAATGATGGGCCAAACACACCCTGTTTAATACTGAAAGTTCGACTGTTAGCTTAGAACTGAGGGGATAATTCACTAAGTGAAATCTTACCGCATCTGAGTATGCGGTAAGATACCGCACAGCTACTAAAAACATTCTTTATTGTCTCAGCTGTCGGTGGGATTCCCCGGAATGGGGACAGACCACATATTGAACCTTGAGAACCGCACTCAGGGTTGTGGGAACATTTCTTAAAGGACAACTTGTGCCAAAAGAATCCCTAGCAGCCTCCGAAGGAACCGTATGGGGACCCTGGTAGACAAACCCTGTCCTTTATATTGAATGGAGCCTCAGGATGAAGAGGACCTGGTAAGGATGCTTTCAGAAGAAAGATGCAGATCTCCGGAATGGGGACAGACCACATATTGGACCTCGTGGACCACACTCAGGGTTGTGGGAACATTTCTTAAAGGATACCTTGTGCCAAAAGAATCCCTAGCAGCCTCTGAGGGAACCGTATGGTTCCATGGGACCCTGGTAGACAAACCCTGTCCTTTATATTGAACGGAGCCTCAGGATGACGAGGACCTGGTAAGAATGCTTTCAGAAGAAAGATGAAGATCTCCGGAATGGGGACAGACCACATATTGGACCTTGTGGACCACACTCAGGGTTGTGGGATCAATTCTTAAAGGACAACTTGTGCCAAAAGTATCATTAGGATGCCTTTAAAAAACAGTGAAATCACAAGGACAGATTTTAGTTGGTTCCCCGTTTCAATATCTCTAGTCCCAACGGTAACCTTTAAATAATGACTTTTTTTCATATGTCTGAATTCAGGTGATCTATCTTGGTGGAACGAGGAGCCATTCATCTCCCATAACCATGTTTATCACACAAGGGGATGGTGAGGGAATCTTCTACTCTTTGGGGGCTGCTTGTTGCTTGATTATTCCACCATTCGGGCCGAGGCAATAACAGCCATGCATGATTCTGCATATAGAAAGTCAATATTGCGAAGCCATACACGGCAACAATGGTGCGCCTGTACCCGGAAAACGCATCGTTCCCTCCCTTCGGAAAACATTCCATCTCCTCGCTGACATTCTGATGGATGGTTCTCGTAGCGTGCTCGCTAAAGCTCTCATTTGTGAATTCCAAATAAAATCATCTCCACCAACAAAAAAAAAAAAGATGGGGGGGGGAACAATACATTAATTATTTTCTCATAACGGCGTTCCCGAGCCTTCCGTTTCGATTAACAAAGCTTTCCGTAAGCCTCATGCGAAAAGGGCGCTCGCACTTAGATTCTCCCTTCACTGAACTCCCTTCAGGTTTTTTTTTTTTTTTTAATTTTCCGCCTTCGCAAATAGAATATCCCAGCGAACTGAATGTATGAAAGTTTTATGCCGTTATTACCGACTGTGATGTAGCGGCTAAATAAAAACATGTTCGGAGCCAATAAAAAATTCATCCGTGTTTTCACATATTCTCTCCATTTTCTTTGCCATTGAGCAAATAATGTGAAGGAATGGAGGGAAGTCGGCCGCTTTGCTGGGCGAATGGCTGAGAGTTTAAATGTTACAACCATCGCATCTTATTCCAGGAAGAGCCGCGAATGTTCCACACAAGGTTTACAGCGCAACGCGAGCAATTATTGGTGTCTTTTATTTCATTTCTAAAAAGTTTCTTTAAAAAAAAAGTTTTAAAAAAGTTACAGATCGTTGGGAAAGGATTGGAATCTCTTATGGGGTTTCCCCCCCAAATGGACTTTGTTCCCATTAGGCTCAGCTCACAGCTGTGGAAAATCGCCGGCTTTCCTGACATGAAGAGAAACGCGTTCTCCTTTATCAGACGCAGCGCCGTAAAAGGGATTTTTTTTTTTAAATATCAAACATGTTATCCTTACCTGCATCTGTAATGGTTTTGCACAGAACAGCCCTGTTAGTTATGTAGTTACATAGTTATATAGTTACATAGTTACATAGTTACATAGTTATATAGTTACAGAGTTTCATAGTTATATAGTTATATAGTTATATAGTTACATAGTTATATAGTTATATAGTTATATAGTTATATAGTTACATAGTTATATAGTTATATAGTTACATAGTTATATAGTTACATAGTTTCATAATTACATAGAATCTATAGATATATAGTTACATAGTTATATAGTTACAAAGTTATATAGTTACATAGTTACATAGTTATATAGTTACATAGATATATAGTTACATAGATATATAGTTACATAGTTATATAGTTACATAGTTTCATAATTACATAGATATATAGTTACATAGTTATATAGTTACATAGTTATATAGTTACATAGTTATATAGTTACATAGTTACATAGTTATATAGTTACATAGATATATAGTTACATAGTTACATAGTTATATAGTTACATAGTTATATAGTTACATTGATATATAGTTACAGAGTTATATAGTTACATAGTTATATAGTTACATAGTTATATAGTTACATAGTTATATAGTTACATAGTTATATAGTTACATAGTTATATAGTTACATAGTTACATAGTTATATAGTTACATAGATATATAGTTACATAGTTACATAGTTATATAGTTACATTGATATATAGTTACAGAGTTATATAGTTACATAGTTATATAGTTACATAGTTATATAGTTACATAGTTATATAGTTACATAGTTATATAGTTACATAGTTATATAGTTACATAGATATATAGTTACATAGTTATATAGTTACATAGTTATATAGTTACATAGTTATATAATAGTTATATTATAGTTATATCCTTTGTAAGAGAAAAGATCTCTTTCCATTGACTTTGATGGGATTCACAATAAAATGTGCGATTTGTCAAACTTGCCCACGAATCAGACTGCAGCAGATTCGCCTATCACTATCCAGCATCAATGAGGAGCAAAAAAAGGTGAAAAGAATACGAAAGACGGGAGTTGAAGGTGCAGATATGGAAAACTCACCGGCCACTTTATTGGATCCACCTGTTCAATGGCTTGGTAACACAAATTGCTAACCAGCCAATCACATGACAGCAACTCAATGCATTTAGGCATCTAGACTGGTGAAGACAACTTGCTGAAGTTCAAACCGAGCATCAGAATGGGGAAGAAAGGGGATTTTTTGAACATGGTATGGTTGTTGGTGCCAGATGGGTTGGTCTGATGATTTCAAAAACTGCTGATCTACTTTGGGCCCCTTAGTACCAACTGAGCATCGTATAAACCCCACGGCCTACCTGAGTATTGTTGCTGACCATGTCCACCCCTCTATGACTCCAGTGTCCCCATCTTCTGATGGCTCCTTCCAGCAGGATAATGCACCATGTCACAAAGCTCCAATCATCTCACACTGGTTTCAAGTAGGTTTTTCCCGCACAACCGGCTCTAAGGTTTACAGTGAATGGTCCGGAAAGGAGAAAATATCTAGAGAGCGGCAGTTGTGTGGAGGGAACATGCCTTGTTAATGTCAGAGAACGGGCAGACTGGTTGGAGATGATAGAAAGGCAACAGGAACTCTAATAACCCCTCGTTACACCCAAGATATGCGGAATACCATCTCTGAATGCACAACATGTCCAACCTTGAAGCAGATGGGCTACAGCAGCAGAAGACCACACCGGGGGCCACTCCTGTCAGCTAAGAACAGGAAACGGAGGCTACAATTCACACAGGATCACCAAAATTGGACAATAGAAGATTGGAAGAACGTTGCCGGGTCTGAAGAGCTGCAACATTCAGATGGTGGGGTTAGAATTTGGTATAAACAACATGAAAGCATGGATCCATCCCTGCCTTGTATCAATGGTTCAGGCTTGTGGTGTCATGGTGTGGTGGATCCATCCTGCCTTGTATCAATGGTTCAGGCTGGTGGTGGTGGTGTCATGGTGTGGGGGATCCATCCTGCCTTGTATCAATGGTTCAGGCTGGTGGTGTCATGGTGTGGTGGATCCATCCTGCCTTGTATCAATGGTTCAGGCTGGTGGTGGTGGTGTCATGGTGTGGTGGATCCATCCTGCCTTGTATCAACGGTTCAGGCTGGTGGTGGTGGTGTCATGGTGTGGTGGATCCATCCTGCCTTGTATCCATGGTTCAGGCTGGTGGTGTCATGGTGTGGGGGATTCATCCTGCCTTGTATCAATGGTTCAGGCTGGTGGTGGTGGTGTCATGGTGTGGGGGATTCATCCTGCCTTGTATCATTGGTTCAGGCTGGTGGTGTCATGGTGTGGTGGATCCATCCTGCCTTGTATTCATGGTTCAGGCTGGTGGTGGTGGTGTCATGGTGTGGGGGAGATTTTCTTGGCACACTTTGGGCTCCTTAGTACCAATTGAGCATCGTTTAAACACCACGGCCCCACTGACTATTGTTGCTGCCCATGTCCATCCCTCTATGACTCCAGTGTCCCCATCTTCTGACGGCTCCTCCCAGCAGGATAACGCTCCATGTCACAAAGCTCCAATCATCTCACACTGGTTTCTGGAACATGACAATGAGGTCACTGGACTCCAATGGCCTCCACAGTCACCAGATCTCCTTTGGGATGTGGAGGAACGGGAGATTCCCATCATGAATGAGCAGTCTACAAATCTGCAGCAATTGTGTGACGCCATCATGTCAATATGGAGCAAAATCTCTTGAGGAACGTTTCCAGCACCTTGTTGGATCTACGCCATGAAGAACTAAGGCAAAAGGGGGTCCAACCCAGGACTAGCAAGGTGGACCTAATAAAGTGGCCAGTGGGTGTACATCACCACTTTGTACCTTCTTGCTCCTGAAAGCTCCCTAAACACCTCCCCTTCCATCTCCTAATGCCTGAAACATGTAAGCACAACAGCCCACTGCAACCCAGCAGCTGCCTGTTTTCTGCTCTGCAGGGGTTAATGGAAAGCCATCCCAGTCCTCAGGTAATTGCGCAGTAGATTAGGACTGCGTTTAAAAAGCTGCAAT